TCACTTTAAGTGCGAAGGAAAAAAAAAAAAAAAAAAAAAAATCTTTCAAGATGGCGGCCCAGTAGTCACGTGCGTAAAAAAAAAAAAAAAAAGGCTCTCAGGGCGGAGCTCCCGGCGCGGGGCGGGGTCCCCGCGGGCTTGCAGCGGGCTACTGTTTGCCGTATTCTCCTGGCGCGCCCCCGCGAGCCCAAAAAAAAAAAAAAAAAGACCCCGCCGCTTCGAATGTTGTGAATCAAATGTGGGGTTAAAAAAAAAAAAAAAAAGCCGCGGACAGTTCTTAAAGGGCCAGCCGCCGGCTGCCGCAAAAAAAAAAAAAAAAACTGCGCCGCCTCCCGCTCCCTGAGGGCCTGGGCCGAGAGAGACTGACCGCGTGTGGGCCTCGCGAGGCAGACGCCGTCGGGCGGACAACAAAGAGAGAAAAAAAAAAAAAAAAAGGGCTGCCCCCGGACCCGGGGGTGGGGAGGGGAGCACATTAAAAAAAAAAAAAAAAACTCTTAAAGGGTCCAGGCAGGCCCCCCCCCCGCCCCCTGCAAAAAAAAAAAAAAAAAGATCGGAAACAAAGGAGTCAACGTGTGGCCGGGCGGCCAAAAAAAAAAAAAAAAAAAGGCCCCCAACTCCCTATTCCCCTACTCATGGACCTCCTGCAAAAAAAAAAAAAAAAAGGGGGCCATGATCTAGCTAGCTCCGCAGGGGTTAATCACGAAAAAAAAAAAAAAAAAACAGCGAGACCCCAGGGATCAGGAACCCCCCCGGGCCCCCAAAAAAAAAAAAAAAAATCCAGTCTTCTGCGGCTGAACGCTGCGGTTGGAGAGGAAGAAAAAAAAAAAAAAAAACTGCGGCCGCCACTTCCTTTGTTGTTGCTTTTGTCTCTCGAAAAAAAAAAAAAAAAAGATCCTCGGCTCTTAAAGTCACAGCGCTCCGGCCCCTGCGAAAAAAAAAAAAAAAAAGCCCCCGGTGTCCCTCCGAGAGCGGCACAAAAGAGTGGGAAAAAAAAAAAAAAAAAACCTCTCGGGGCAGACGTCCGCGCCTGGGCTCCCCAGCGCTATGCCTGGAGAGGGGTGGCTGGGTAAGCTTCCCAGAGCCCCACAACATGCACTTGGCAAAAAAAAAAAAAAAAACCTTCCCCAGGGACACTGGTCTCCTCCCCCACTAGTGTGAAAAAAAAAAAAAAAAAAGACTCTTCTGGTTTTATTTGGGCGCTCTGGGAAGGAAAGAAAAAAAAAAAAAAAAAACAGTTGTGCCAACTGAGGCTTTCAGAAGCAAAGGGATTTCAAAAAAAAAAAAAAAAAAGGGAGTTTTCTCTCCTCGTCTGGTGGTCCGGCCCTCAGCAAAAAAAAAAAAAAAAACTCTGCTTGCGCTGGGCAGAGCCTGCTTGTTTGGAGTGGGAAAAAAAAAAAAAAAAAGGGGGGCTTCTCTCCTGGCTGTGTCTACTCATGCCCCCAGAAAAAAAAAAAAAAAAAATCTGCAAAAGGGAGTGTCTCTTCCTGCAAACAGATCCCTAAAAAAAAAAAAAAAAAGTCAGGGTAGGTGCTTGGGGCGCTGGACCTAAGGGGTTGGCCGGCTTTCCTGGGTGGGTGTAGAGGGGTGGTGTTAACTGCAGAATGCATTGCATGCAAAAAAAAAAAAAAAAATCAGCGACGGGACTCCCAAGACTTGATCGCACAGACTTCCAAAAAAAAAAAAAAAAAAAATGTGGACCGGCAGAGCAGTTGTTAGGGGAGGCCACTTGGCCACCCTTGCTGTTTGACCTTGAGCAAGTTGCTAGCTCCAACTCTGGGCCTTGCTAAAAAAAAAAAAAAAAACAGCTAAAGACGGGTGCCTGAAAGAGAGTGCTGTCCCAGCAAAAAAAAAAAAAAAAACACTCGGGATTAGGTGATTTCCTCCAGCTACTGATGCCACAAGGAGTTATGGGTTGGGGGAGTTTGGGCCTAGGAGGCCAACTAGGACGGACCAGTTAAAAAAAAAAAAAAAAAGTGGCCTAGAGTAACTTACTTCCTTTCTCTCAGCCCCAGTAAAAAAAAAAAAAAAAAGGGTGTAACCCTTCTATGCCACCCCTGTTCCTGGCAGGGCAAAAAAAAAAAAAAAAAACTCTTCCCAGCTGAGGTATTCCCCTAGAGTAGCCTGCTGAAAAAAAAAAAAAAAAATTCAAGCTCTGTTGGGGGTTGGAAATGGAGGTCAGCGTGTAAAAAAAAAAAAAAAAAATCATTCACACCCAAGCTACGTTCAGACTTTACAAGCTGCTTCTGCTGTTGCCTTGGAGCAGTCCCTGATGGTAAACTGGGAGGTAGTTATTGGGCTAAAAAAAAAAAAAAAAAGAAGATACTGAGGCTCGGGAGGGGAAGCCCTTGCCCAGGAAAAAAAAAAAAAAAAAAGAATCTAGCTAGAAGTCACTGTCATGTGTGAGTCTGTGAGAAAAAAAAAAAAAAAAACTGGAGGCCCTTCTGTCTTCTGGCTTGCTTTCCCAGCTCCAAAAAAAAAAAAAAAAACTGGGGAGTGGGTGCCTTTGTAGGGTGTCTACAGAGCAGACACCCACAGGCCTGGGCCTCTGTGAGAGTGCCTTGGGTCTGGCACTGCTCAGCCATCAAAAAAAAAAAAAAAAATAAGAGGAGCAGTCAAGGCTGCTGGCTTGGTGGCTAATCAAAAAAAAAAAAAAAAAAGACTGCTTAGGTCATGCCCCTGTGCACTCACGATTCCGGCAAAAAAAAAAAAAAAAACACCTCTCCGAGCCTTGGTGTCTTGACTGCTGGGAGGACTAAAAAAAAAAAAAAAAAGGAAACAGCATAGTTACTATGGTGCTTGTTCCGCACCAGCAGAACTGCGGGCTCCCAGGCTTTCTGAGGTTAGCTGGGGTAGAAATTCCCAAACCTAAAAAAAAAAAAAAAAAATCTGGGGAATTTGATAAAAATCTAGGTGCCCTTGTTCCCCAAAAAAAAAAAAAAAAAGGTCCAGGAGGCTTGGGATGGGCCAGGCATCTGCTGTTTCAAAAAAAAAAAAAAAAACTGAGTCTCCCTTGGCCGTTGTTTGCTTGGCTGGTTTGTCAAAAAAAAAAAAAAAAACTGTGCGTGTAGACATGCCTGTCACGATGTGCACTTGGCCAAAAAAAAAAAAAAAAAACCCAGTCCCCGATGATGGGCAGGCAGAGGATGGGCCTGGGTGACCTGGAGGGAAGGCTCTTGCTCCCAGTGAGGGGGCCAGGCAGAAACAAGTGGGAAAAAAAAAAAAAAAAAACGCCAGGTTTTTTTGTAATCTCCCAATTTTCAGTCATTGAAAAAAAAAAAAAAAAAGCCAGACTGGGTGGCCTCGGACCTGTGTGATTGGCTCTGTAAAAAAAAAAAAAAAAACATCAGGCCTGCCCTGAGCTGGACACAAGGTGGTCCCTGGCCTTGCCCACACCCTCTGCTGGCCGGGCCCCATCTCCCATGTGGGCTCCTTTTGAGAAAAAAAAAAAAAAAAAATGAAGTGCAGCACAGAGGAAATGGTTCTTGTCGCTGTTGGCAGGAAGGAACTAGGTGTTGAGCTGACAGTTACACTGGCTGGCTGTGTCAACAGGGAAAAAAAAAAAAAAAAAAGGTATCAAGGATGCATAGGAGTTTTGTTTGGTGGGAGAAGAAAAAAAAAAAAAAAAACTGTGGCAGGAACAACAAAGAGCTGGTCCTGTCGGACGCAAAAAAAAAAAAAAAAAAGCCTGATAGGTTCTAGAGCTTTTCCAGCAAGGGCCTCGTCAAAAAAAAAAAAAAAAAGGAACCCTGAGGTTGAGCCAGGTCCCTCGACATCCCCCACAAAAAAAAAAAAAAAAAACCCGAGGCAGGAGACCCTGCCCAACCCATTCCTATTCAAAAAAAAAAAAAAAAAAATTGCTTCCCTTTTTTCTCAACAGGCCCCACCTCCCACTTTAAAAAAAAAAAAAAAAACCCCAGAGCAAAGGCCTGGCTGCATGCCAGACTCCAGTCTCCCCAGGCCGGCTTCCTTCATCGCCTCCCGTGAAGCCTGGGACTGGTCCTCTCTGTTAAAAAAAAAAAAAAAAAAGATGCTTGTCTTTGGCCCACCTCCCAGCTTTAACACTACCGTGGGGCTTTGGGCAAGTTTCTTCTGGCTGAGCCTCAGTTTCCTCCTCTGTAAAATAAAAAAAAAAAAAAAAATTGAAAGGTAGATGAAGTCACACTTGGCTAGGCACAGTGGAAAAAAAAAAAAAAAAAAAAGAATAGTGTCTTGCCTTGGACTGGAAGCCCCCGAGGGAAAAAAAAAAAAAAAAACTCTTGCCTGGCGCCCGTAAGAGGAGAACTGGGTCCCAGGAAAAAAAAAAAAAAAAACTGGAGCCAACCAGAGGGAAGGGAGGATGCTGGAGCCTCCTCAGGAACCCCCAGCTGCCACCTGGAGGCCAAGTTGTAGCCCCTGGTATAAGGCAGAAAAAAAAAAAAAAAAAAGCCCCTTTCCGAGACAGGGCGCCCTGAGACCCCACCCAGCGGGAGCCTGTGGGGAGCCCACTGGCCTGGAAGCGCGCTGGCCAGCTCCCTGAGCTCAAAAAAAAAAAAAAAAAAGTGCTGGCACGCTGAATTGTCCTGACTTTTCAGCAGTGGAAAAAAAAAAAAAAAAAAGGGGCACGGCTGAACACCATTGGTCCCTGGGGTCACACTGCAGAGGTTTGGTTCTGTGTCCTGACCCCTCATGGTGCAAGCGCCTGGACTCCTCTGTAAAAAAAAAAAAAAAAATTCTTTTTTCTTTTTTTTTGAGACAGAGTCTCGCTCTGTCAAAAAAAAAAAAAAAAACGGCGCGATCTCAGCTCAGCTCACCGCAACCTCTGCTTCCCAGGTTCAAGCGATTCTCGTGCCTCAGCCCCCCAAGTAGCTGGGATTACAGGTGTCCAAAAAAAAAAAAAAAAAGTTTTTGTATTTTTAGTAGAGACGAGGTTTCACCATGTTGAAAAAAAAAAAAAAAAACCTTGTCTCTTTGCCTCCTAGAGTTGTGAGTCCCGGCCCAAAAAAAAAAAAAAAAAACCCCCCTGATGCGACCATGGGCTCTGGCAGTGACTAGGTGGCCACCCTCTGCCCCCGTGGGTCAGCGGCGATTCTCTGCGGGACCCGGCAGCACCCCAAAAAAAAAAAAAAAAAGGTAGGAAGGAGCCTCACCGTTCTGATGCTGGGGCACGGGAAAAAAAAAAAAAAAAACGCAGGGCCCTGAGCTGCCTTCCCTCCCCATGGGGGGAGTAAAAAAAAAAAAAAAAACTGCTCTGTGCACGAGTGGCCCCCCTCAGTCCTATCGGGGAAAAAAAAAAAAAAAAAAGCCCCGGCCTCGAGGGTCCCCTGGTCAGCCCACCTGCCCAAAAAAAAAAAAAAAAATCCCAGCAGCCGCCGTCCCGACCTCCACACCTCCCCGTAGAAAAAAAAAAAAAAAAAGCTCCTGCCGGCGGGGGCCCCCGAATGCTGCACCCAGCCAAAAAAAAAAAAAAAAAAATGGTTGATCTCCACGAGCAGGTAGGCAGAACCCCATCCCAAAAAAAAAAAAAAAAATGAGCCATTCTAAGAAGCAGAGGCAGCCAGGCCTTGATTTCACCTAGCTTGCTTCATTTCACGTTCCAGGGAGGCATTATTAGCCCTGTTTTACAGGAAAAAAAAAAAAAAAAAGAGGAAGGGGCCACAGTGGATGACTGGCAGAGCTGGATTCAAAAAAAAAAAAAAAAACCCCGGGGCCCTGGGAGTAGAGGCACAGTCTGGTCTGCACAAAAAAAAAAAAAAAAAGAGAAGGGAAGGGAGCCGGCAGCTGATCGTGGCAGGACGAAAAAAAAAAAAAAAAAACCTCAGGGCCAGCTTCCTTCTCACACTTTCCTGGCCTTCTCTCTACCCACAGGTGCACCAGGGACCTGTCCCTCTGTCCTACACGGTCACCACAGTGAAAAAAAAAAAAAAAAACTTGCCTACAGGCCAACACATCCCTGGCTGCAGTGCCCAGCAGCTCCCAGCATGCTCCGTGATGTTCAGCGGGCAGCACTACCCCCTCTGCTGCCTCCCGCCCCCGGTGAGTGAGTGTTTCCAGCTCCTACTCCACCAGCTGCAAGCCCCAGGCAAAAAAAAAAAAAAAAACGGGCCCAGGGCAGCCCTGAACTGAGCTGAGCTATCCAGCAAAAAAAAAAAAAAAAACGCCTGCCTGGCCGCCCCAGGAAAGCGTACGTGTATTCACAAAAAAAAAAAAAAAAATTCAAGGTTCAGGGACCTTCCAGTACCCCTGTACCTGCCTAAAAAAAAAAAAAAAAACCGGGAGTTGAGGCTGTGGGCCTGAAGAGTAGAGTGGCCTGCCTGGTGGCCTAGGACAGGGATGGGCCTTCCACACGGTTTCTTGTGCAGACCCTGGAAAAAAAAAAAAAAAAACCGGTGGGGGCCTCTTGCTGGGCGGCATGGCATAGACCTGGCCCAGAGCCCAGGAGAACATTCTCAGCCTCCTGTCCCCTCTCTCGGCAGCTCATCCAAAAAAAAAAAAAAAAACAGCTGCCTGTGCCCTATCAGGCCTACCCCCACCTCATCTAAAAAAAAAAAAAAAAACTGCATCCCCCACCGCCGGCCCCACCCCCACAGCCCACCCAAAAAAAAAAAAAAAAACAGTTTGTGTCTCTGCAGGCCCAGCACCCGCGGATGGTGAAAAAAAAAAAAAAAAAATGGCGGGGGATGATGATGGAGGGGGATGGTGCCGGGGGAGAAAAAAAAAAAAAAAAATTGTCTCACTGACTTCCTGACCCAGCACCGCTTCTTCCAGAAAAAAAAAAAAAAAAACAATGACGTGGACCTGCGTGGGGACCAGCACTCCCTGGGTAAAAAAAAAAAAAAAAACTCTGCGCCTGGCCCAGCCCTTTCCCCATCGGTGCCCCTGCACTACCTGCCCCACGACCCGCTGCACCAGGAGCTGTCCTTTGGTGTGGTGAGTGCCAAAAAAAAAAAAAAAAAGCTCTGGGCCGGCTGGGAGGCAGGCCCGTCGGGCTGACCTAAAAAAAAAAAAAAAAACAGCCATATTCTCACATGATGCCGCGGCGACTGAGCACCCAAAAAAAAAAAAAAAAACAGCCACTGCCCCCGCCGCCCCCACCACCACCCCCACCACAAAAAAAAAAAAAAAAACTGCCCTACTTCCTGTAAGTATCTGCACATCCACCCGAGGAAAAAAAAAAAAAAAAATCCTAGAACCTCCAGTGGTTACACCCAAACACAGCTCCAGAAAAAAAAAAAAAAAAAAAGCCATCTTGCGTTCTCCCCCAAGCCTGACAGGCACACTAAAAAAAAAAAAAAAAACGCTGCAACGTTCTGGGCTCTGTTTGCAAGGAGGGAGTCAAAAAAAAAAAAAAAAAAGCCCCACTCCTTTTGACCTTGACCCTGGGCCGCCACACTTGTCTCTCTCTAGCTCGATGCTGCCAATGTCACCAACAGCAATGGGGCCCACCATCAGAAAAAAAAAAAAAAAAAATGACGTGGAGATGGAGAACTATGAGGTCCCGTGGAGCCCCATGCTGGGAGGTGGGGTTTGGGAGACCTGCAGCCCTGGGCGCCGCTGACCCCGTTTAAAAAAAAAAAAAAAAACCTCCTGAACCTGGCCGAGCGGTTGGGAGATGCCAAGCCCAAAAAAAAAAAAAAAAAAGACATAGAGCAGCTCCCGTCATACCGCTTTAACCCGGACAAAAAAAAAAAAAAAAAGACGCTGTGAGTACCGTGCCCCACCTCCCACCCCTCTGAAAAAAAAAAAAAAAAAAAGGACACCCCTCTCAGGGCAGTCACACTCCACTGAGCCCTCAAAAAAAAAAAAAAAAAGAGGTGACGCTCCGTGCCCCTCCGCAGGTGTGTGGTCTGCTTCAGTGACTTCGAGACGCGGCAGCTGCTCCGAGTGCTGCCCTGCAACCATGAGTTCAAAAAAAAAAAAAAAAACAAGTGGCTGAAGGTAACACTGCCCAGGCCGGCTCCTGGGAAAAAAAAAAAAAAAAACGGGGGATGGGCAGGCCTGGGCTGTTTCCCTCCTTGTCCTAAAAAAAAAAAAAAAAATTCCGGCTCCAAGGGGACCAAGTCCCCCCAGGTGGCTGCAAAAAAAAAAAAAAAAAAGGCTGGTGAGAGCAACGCCTGACATGCATGTTCCCGCAGGAAAAAAAAAAAAAAAAAATCTGCCGGGCCGATGCCTCCGAGGTGCCCAGGGAGGCTGAGTGAGGCCACACAGCCGCCCGGGAGAACCCTGCGTGAAGCTCTGGAAACTTGGGGGAAAAAAAAAAAAAAAAAGGGGAGGGAGTGGCCCAGGCCTGCTCCATCGCTCCTGCCTAAAAAAAAAAAAAAAAAGCCAGGGTCAGCCCGGCGAGGAGTCCCTGCAATAAGCCCCAAAAAAAAAAAAAAAAAAAAGACTCCCTCTCTAGTCTGCCTGCCCGTCCGCCCGCCAAAAAAAAAAAAAAAAAACCCTAATCTGGTCTCCCTCCTGTGCGCCCTCGGGTCCCTCCTTTTCCTGCTGGCACTGAGAGCCAGGGGTCCACTCCCCCGCTGCGGCTGGTGGAGAAAAAAAAAAAAAAAAAAGGCAGACAGCACCATCCTGGGTCAGAAGGTCTCGTGCTCTAAAAAAAAAAAAAAAAAGCCCAGGTGGCACTGCCAGGTGCATAGACTGACGGTGTTAAAAAAAAAAAAAAAAAACCCCAGAGCTGAATCCTCCCCCCTTGACCCCAAACAGTGAAAAAAAAAAAAAAAAAATGCGTTGGCTGCTGTTGAGGGCTGAGTCTGGCTCCCTAGAAAAAAAAAAAAAAAAAAACAACATTCCAGCCCTACCCTCAGGCTGGAGAGTGTCCCAAAAAAAAAAAAAAAAAAGGCACACGTATCCTGAGGGGCCTGGGCCATACGGGGAGAGAAAAAAAAAAAAAAAAAGTGGCTGTCCCTCCCAGGGATGCAGCCAGACCCGTGCCCAAAAAAAAAAAAAAAAAATGTTTTGCATGAACGTGAGGAGCAGCAGTTTTTGTTTATTAAAAAAAAAAAAAAAAACGTGTAGGATTTGGGGATGTGGATATTTAAGACAATTTATAAAAAAAAAAAAAAAAACGGGGCGAGTATAGGGACCAACTGGGACCGAGTGCCCAGGAAAAAAAAAAAAAAAAACTGGCCAGCCTGCATGCATGCGTGTGCCCGGCCGGCCGGCGGTCGTAGGGCAGGGTTGGGGGGTCTGTGCTCAGCTGATAACTGCCATGCACTGTACAAAAAAAAAAAAAAAAACCTACCGGGACCCGATGCTTTTCAGGGCATTTCTCCCTCCAAAAAAAAAAAAAAAAACACCTGCCTGGGCGAGTCTCCTCCAAGGAAATCCCAGGAGAAAAAAAAAAAAAAAAACCGTGGACCCCCATCTCCAGGGGGCCCTCCCAACCTGTTCCCTGTCCTCCGAGCCCTGGAGGAGGCCGCTGTAGGGTCTGGCTGAGCTTCCCACCCTAAAAAAAAAAAAAAAAACCTTTCTTGTCCTACACCCAGCTGGGGTTGCTGCCCTGAACGAACTGCGTGTGGGGCCGGCACATCCTAGCAGGTAGCCCCTGGCGCCTGCTGCCTCAGGGATGCTCCAACCACCCTCGTTCTCCCGGCAGCGGCCCTGGCTCCCAGCTCCCGCCCCAGCCTGCCGCGGGGCCCGTCAGCCTGGTCCCGCCCCCATGGAGAACCCAAAGTCAAAAAAAAAAAAAAAAAAGGTGACGTTTCTATATTTATAGCAGTGTTGAAAACCCACAAAAAAAAAAAAAAAAAACCCTCTCCAACCCCTCCCTTCCCGACCCTAGCAAAAGGTAAAAAAAAAAAAAAAAATTCCTGGGGCAGGTGGAAACAGGCTCGCAGGCCGTGTGTCAAAAAAAAAAAAAAAAACAACAAGCAGCTGTTGGGGGGGAACACAGCATTTAAAAAAAAAAAAAAAAAAAAAAAATTTATACAACAATTACTTAGGATGTTTGTGATTTGCCGAAAAAAAAAAAAAAAAAATGTTACCAATGATTTCCTGTGGTGGGGGCTTGCCATTGTTTACTCTTTTATTTACCAACTTCTGGCCTAGGCATGACAGTGGGCACCTTCCCCCAGCAAAAAAAAAAAAAAAAACCTGTGTTCTGTGTTAGAAAGGTTTTATATATATATAAAAAAAAAAAAAAAAAAAAAAATATATGTAATTTTGGGGGCCCTGTTCCTTGCACATTTTAAAAAAAAAAAAAAAAACCCATGTATGTATTTGAGAAAATGCTAATATATAGAGAAAAAAAAAAAAAAAAAAAATTAAATGTGTGGTTTTTTCCATTCCATGGGATTCACATTGAAAAAAAAAAAAAAAAATAACTAGTATGTTGTATTATATATATGTGTATACTGATTGAAAAAAAAAAAAAAAAAGTACTTTTTTTAAAATGAAAGTTGCTAGTTCTGCTTGACCAAAAAAAAAAAAAAAAATTTTTTTTAATATTGTTGCTGATTTCAGAGGGATATTCACAAAAAAAAAAAAAAAAAATACCAATGACCGCCCACGCTGCCTTTGGCTGCCTGTGTCTTTTTGGTGGGAGGTGGGATGGGGATGAGGCCCGGAGCAGACAAGATTGCTGTTTGCTGTGGAACTGTGGGGTGGCCAACACCCGCTCATCCAGAGGGGCCTGCCAAGCCAGTTAAAAAAAAAAAAAAAAAAAGCTATCTGCTTCACATGTGAGTTAGGCTTCTGTTAGCAAAAAAAAAAAAAAAAAATAATTGGTTTGAGGAAAAAGTCACTTATTGGTCTCCTGTGAAAAAAAAAAAAAAAAAGAGGCCAGGCGCAGTGGCTTACGCCTGTAATCTCAGCACTAAAAAAAAAAAAAAAAAGTGGATCACTTAAGGTGAGGTGTTCAATACCAGCCTGCCCAACATGGTAAAACCCCTTCTCTACTAAAAATACAAAGAAATTAGGCCAGGCACGGTGAAAAAAAAAAAAAAAAACAGCACTTTGGGAGGCTGAGGCCGGCGGATCACGAGGTCAAAAAAAAAAAAAAAAAATGGCTAACATGGTGAAACACCGTCTCTACTAAAAATACAAAAAAAAAAAAAAAAAAATTAGCCGGGCGTGGTGGCGGGCACCTGTAGTCCCAGCTACAAAAAAAAAAAAAAAAAGGGAATGGCGTGAACCCGGAAGGCGGAGCTTGCAGTGAGCCGAAATCGTGCCGCTGCACTCCAGCCTGAGTGACAGAGCAAGACTCTCAAAAAAAAAAAAAAAAAAAAAAAAAACACAAGCCTATAGCCCTAGCTACTCGGGAGGCTGAGGTAGAAAAAAAAAAAAAAAAAAGGAGGTGGAGGTTGCAGTTAGCCAAGATTGCACCACTGCACTCCAGCCTAGGTGACAGCAGACTGTCTCAAAAAATAAATAGATAAAAATGAATCTCAAGGTAGGTTCTTCTGTCCTGACTGGATCAGGGGGCTCAGGCCTGTCATGAGGAAAACTTGTTTTGTTTTTCCAATGGGAACGAGTCTTACTGTGCTGCCCAGGCTGGTCTCGAAAAAAAAAAAAAAAAACGGTCCTCCCACCTTGGCCTCCCAAAGTGCTGGGATTACAAAAAAAAAAAAAAAAAACCGGCCTGCAACCTTGCTTTTCTCTGCGCAGTAGCGCTTGAAAAAAAAAAAAAAAAATCCTCTAATTTAGCATCACCTTTGGGGATCGAGTGTTGTCAAAAAAAAAAAAAAAAAGTGCCACATCAAATCCGTTTACTGGCCAGGCCTGTGTTCAAAAAAAAAAAAAAAAAACCCCACTGAAACTAGGAAGAATTGTACCCCTTGGACCCAGAAAAAAAAAAAAAAAAATGCCCGGGAGCCATGAAAGAGACCAGCTTAGTGATGAGGAAAAAAAAAAAAAAAAAAAGCGTGTCACAGCAGTGTGGTCTGGAGCCGGAACAGTGGGAAAAAAAAAAAAAAAAAGCGACCTTGTGTCTGTGATGCCACTAACCAGAGCCCTGGTAAAAAAAAAAAAAAAAACAGTCTTTGGATCCTCTGCAAAGAGGGGACAAGATCAGTAAAAAAAAAAAAAAAAAATGTTTCTGAGAAAGTCCAGTGAGGCCATAACAGGGCTTGTAAAAAAAAAAAAAAAAATGGTGGAATAAATGTGGTACAGTCCATGTCGAAGGTAACAAAAAAAAAAAAAAAAAATTCACTGAGGCTTGGCTATGACGATGGACATTGTAAAGCTAAAAAAAAAAAAAAAAAGGCATTTCCCGCATTTGGCTAGTTTGGCCAGGTGGAGGGCAAAAAAAAAAAAAAAAAGAGCACACTGGTACGAGGTGGACTAGAACAGCGGTAGCATAAAAAAAAAAAAAAAAACTTAGGTCTGAGAAAATTGTAAGATCGGGAAGGTTCCAAGAAAAAAAAAAAAAAAAACAAATGCTAAAGAAAAATCACATGATCATATCAATTGATGAAAAAAAAAAAAAAAAAAACTTCACTCATCCATGATAAAAACTGTCAACAAGCTAGGAAAAAAAAAAAAAAAAATCAGCTTGATAAAGAACATCTACAGAAACCCCTACAGCTTAAAAAAAAAAAAAAAAAGAAGGGCTAGAGGCCTCCCCTCTGAGATGGGGACCAGGCAAGGCTGTCTCCTCTCATAACTCCTGTTCAACACTGTACTGGAAGACCCAGCCAGCACAAAAAAAAAAAAAAAAAAAATAAAATTGGGCAAATAAATGCCTAATATGTGAGGAAAAAAAAAAAAAAAAAAAACAATTTATAGCTGATAGGATGAAAATCTAGGTAGAAAATCAAAAAAAAAAAAAAAAAAACTCCTAGAACTAAATGAGTTCAGGTCACAGGTACAAGATCAACATAAAAAAATTAATTGATTCTGCTGGACGTGGTGGTTCACACCTGTAATCCCAAAAAAAAAAAAAAAAAAGGCAGGCGGATTGCCTGAGGTCAGGAGTTCAAGACCAGCAAAAAAAAAAAAAAAAAACCCTGTCTCTACTAAAAATACAAAAATTAGCCAGGCATGAAAAAAAAAAAAAAAAATCACAGCTGCTCGGGAGGCTGAGACAGGAGAATCACTAGAAAAAAAAAAAAAAAAAATGCAGTGAGCCAAGATTGCGCCATTGCACTCCAGCCTGGGAAAAAAAAAAAAAAAAACGTCTGAAAAAAAAAAAGAAAAAAATTAATTGATTCTACAAAAAAAAAAAAAAAAAATGGAAACCGAGATTTAAAACACAATAATACCTTTTTTTTTAAAAAAAAAAAAAAAAATGTCACCCAGGCTGGAGTGC